CATAAAACCTCAGCGATCTCACTGTGTGAGCAAAAGCCAGGGACACTACATCTCTTGATGTAACAAAGGTTAAGCAGTCCTTACTTGGTAGCTTTTACTCTTCAGTGTTTTCATATTGTCAGCAGATTTAAAATCTTCAGAGGAAGGGTTTATCTATTGGACACTTTGGTATCTTTCCCCAAGATAGCACCAATTTAGTGATCTGAAATAAAGGTAGACGTTGGTCAACCAGAATCTTGAGAACTCAGGGAGACTGGAACATTAGGATGTATTTTTCTAAGTCTCCAGGAAATGTTATATTTCAGCAAAACTTAATAAAAATCTTTTACTACAAATAGTTTGGAAAAGGAAGAAAACGCCATTCGTATATTCAATAAATATTTATTGAGGCCTTCCTATGTAGGCGTAGGCCCTGCATGATATGTTGTGAGGCAAAGAGGCAGTTCCAAAGATAAGCCTGATAAGAGACCCTGCCCTCAAGGAATTCATGTGATTCTGAGTGAGGAGACACAGACTTGTAAATAATTATGGTACAGGATATATAATAACCTCTAAGTGTGGTAAATAAAGACTCCTGACAGATTTCATAAGAGGAAGTGAGCAACTTTAAAAATGTCTGCATCAGCAATTCTATCACTTCGTTTTGAATCACAAAGCCCCAGGGCCAATCTTCTTGAGGGAGACCACCTGAATGTAATAACATGAGAAACTGAGAAGTCCCTGATGGAAAGTATTCAAACTGAGGCCACCAAGATTCAACAACACCCAGAATCCCGAGGGTGGTCCCTTCTAGACGGGACTGTCAGCCCCCCTCACTGAGTCTGAGTCATTGTCTTGCATTTATGAGGTGCTGCCGCTTTAAAAACACGTTTCCATCCCATATCTGTTCATTTAATTCCGTATCTGTTAATTATGACTCCCCAGGACAGCCTGGCACCAGGAAAAGGGCAGCCAGAACACCAGGGTTCTAATTCTGCTCAGCCCTCTCTGAGGTAAAATGAGGGGGTTGGTCTCCAGATTCCCTCCAAGGCTCCTTGGATAAGCGAGGAGGGCAGGGCCCATTTCATCATCGCCATTTTATAGCGAGGGAACCTGAGGTCAGGAGAGCCTGAGGAGCAGGCCCCAGGTCTCCGATAATAACTGCTCTCCAGCCCTGGAGATTAGCCACCTGGCTTCTATGGACAAAACATTTCTACAGTGTGGTACTCAGAAGCACACCTCACATTTGTGTGCCAGCAGACAAATAGAGGCCTACATAGCATTCGTCTAAGTATGTGTTATACATCAAGATAACAGACTGATAAAATATGACCCTCCCACCTAGACAAATACCTCTTCCTGAGGACCTGCATGGCCAGGTGTGAACTATGAATTCCTGGCCTCTTCCCAGGGCCAGGCTGCAAGGTCACGGGGAAGAAACAGCTGACTCCAACTGACCCCTCTTCCTGCCGGGAGGAGCGCCTGAAGTTCCAGGGAGGGCTCAGAGGTCCCGGCCCTGTGTACACTCCAGCCAAGGCTATTTCTGGGCACAGGGTGGTGGGTTCCGAGGCCCCCGCAGATCCTGAGAAAGGCTCTGGTACTACCCTGTTTCGCCGAAAATAAGACAGTGTCTTATATTAATTTTTGTTCCTGAAGATGCGCTAGGTCTTATTTTCGGAGGATGTCTTATTTTCGGGGAAACACGGTACTTAGGATGGGGATTTCAGAAGTCTGACGACCTGGAGCAAGACCCTCGAAATCCTTTGGCCTGGCCCTGCCAAGGCATTAGGTGTGAGTTAATTAAATGTTTGACCATATATAGCAGGCTCATTTTTAAGTTGATAATTCTGTATGGCCCACAAACAGCCCTTGGCAGAAAAAAATGTCAATAGTACAACGATTGAAATTTCTTTTGAGAGCCACATTTTTTTAAACTTAAACTTCTTCTAATGCCACTTCTTCAAAATAGACTGGCTCAGGCAGTGGCATTTTGTGGAAGAGCCACACTCAAAGGGCCAAAGAGCCGCATGTGGCTCGCGAGCCGCAGTTTGCCGACCACTGAAGAGAGGTCAGGCTCTTTGAGCTGTGGGAAGGGGCTCCTGAGGGAGACCACCTGAATGTAATAACATGAGATACTGAGAGCAGACAGAGGCTGTGGTTAAGAGCCAGTCTGATTCCGAGACCTCAAGATTCAGCCTAGGAATAAACTCCGAACTCTCTGGAGTAAAGGCAGTGTGGACCAGTGGTTACAAGCAGCCAAACACCTGCGACCCTGGCGTGGCTATGCATCCCCTGTGAAATCTCAAACAAGTTACTGAACATTGTAAGGCTCCCATTTCCTCATCCTAAAGCAGATCATTGTTAGGAGGAGAGTAATATAGGGCGTGTAGGAAGGCTTGGCAGAAGTGAAACGCTGGATCAATGCTGTGAGGTTCTCTCCAGCTGCATTAGATGAACTTGCCTCCAAACGGTTTATCTGGAGGATTATATAAACATCATAATGATATCCAAACACTCTGTTCACCAAGGTTCAACCCCTCTCTCCACTGCAGAGCGCCGCCAGGCGCAGGGCTGGCACCATCCACCCCCATCCAAGGCTAGGCTGACGCCCAGGTCCGGCAAGGCCCGCAAGTCCCAAGGTCAAGGACTTGGGGCTGCAGACACGCACGGTAGGAGCTACATCCAGGGGGGTTCAGAGAAGGTGAACTCACTCTGTGAGTGAGTGTGGCTGTGAGTCACCGCGGGGCTCAGGAACTGAAACCGTGTTAGCACGCAGCACCCCCACCGCTTGGCTCATCCCTGATGATGCGCGCAGCCTAGCCAGTGCAAGTGGCCTGGGATTTAAAAAATAATAATAAAATAAAAATAAATTTTAAAAAAAGGCAGGACCAGGCGCCAGGATTGACGCAGCAGCTCGGTCCCCTCCCATCCCACTCGCCTGGGAGGGAGCTCACGCTAACTTCCTTCTAAGCCTTCTGACAGGTCCTGACATCTCCTTCGCCAGCAGAGAGGGAGACCCAGGGGCAAGTCCGGGCAGCTCGTTCCCTTGCACCTCCCAGGAGAGGGAGCCGAGCCAGGTCTAGCGACTGCGTCTTAGAAATCTTCTAAGGGCAAGCCTGGGCATCCATCCCCTCTCTCCTCCTCCGCGTGCAAAGAACTCACAACCGCCCCTTCCCACATCCGAGCCGCCCTCCCCCTTCTGCAAAGGAACTTGGAAAGTTTGCTGCTGCTGCTGCTGCTGGTGGACCCAGAACTGCTGCAACCAGCCCTTTCTGCTCCCTTTAAAGGACAGTCGTGACTGGGCACCGCGCAGTCATCCTCTCTGGAAAACACCAACAAAAGGGCTATATTTAGCCCCGAGCTCTCCGCCTAAATTCCTCTTATTTTTTTCTGCAAAACGACTCGCTGTGGGGAAGTGGGAGGGAGGGAGGGAGGGGGCGGAGGAGCCGCAGAGAAAGAACAGCTGTGCCTCCGCCTCCGAACTCCAGCTCCGTGCAAAGCCAATCCCGGGCAGGAGGTTACTTTTTCAGCCAATGGGAGCGGCCCGGCCTGACAAAACCCGGGCGGCGGCCAATGGGAGAGCCCCTCGAGGTGTGAGATCGGCTCCCGGGACCAATGGGCGGGGAGCCTGGGAGAGGTAATTCGAGCCTGAGAGTGTGTGTGCTGGTGCCAAAGCTTCCTGCTTCGGAGCCCCAAAACCGGCTCTGCCCACTGAGCATGCCCTGACTCGCTTGCGGGCTCTGCCGCCGCCTCCACGGGTGGACCGGGTTGCAACAGAGTCTCCGGGTTTTGGCGCTAGCCCAGTGGGGAGCGGGGTGAGGTGGAGGGGGCGGGGGGGGGGGACCCTCCAAGTGCCACACGGGAGAGAGTGAGCTTTGGTCACCAGTGGTCACTAGAGGCTGCCCCTTCCCTGGACGGAACAGTCATTGAGGCCCAAGGTCCTCATTGTCTTGGTGCTGGAGATGCATGCAGTCTGGGGAGAGTCTGCCAGAAATAGGCAAACGGTTAAAAAAAAAAAATTAAAAAGCTGCGCCGCGGGTGGTGGGGGATGCTCTCCACCCGCCGCTCCAGCAACCGAATGTCCATTGGGTCTCCGGCCCCGAGAGGCGCAGCGCTGGGAACCCGGGATGGGATCCCGGGGTTTTTGATCGCGGGGAGTCGGCGGGAGCAGAGCCTGCTCCGTGCCTGCCATGCTTGCACGCTTCTTGCAGAGCCGCCGCCTGAGGCGCGAACCCCGAAAAGCAGCCTCCACCGTTCCACCTGAGCTCCCCCAGCCCCCCTCCCTCTCTCCCAACACCTCCGCACCCCGACGCCCTCCAGGCGCGCTCCCACCCTCGCTCCTCTCCGGAGTCCGCTCCTCCAGACTCAAATCGCGAGCCCCGCCCCCGGCCCCGCCCCCCGCCCGGCCGGCTCCCCGGAAAACCCGGAGAGCGGAATCCGGCGGGCGCGGAGCCGGCGGCGGCGGCGGCGGCGGCGGCGCACTGGGCATGCTCGCCGGCGGGGGGAGGGCCCGGGTGCGCGCGGTGAGTAGGAAGCCCGGGCCCGGCGGAGGCTGCGGGGGAGAGCGCGCTGGGCCGCGGCGGAGGGCGCACGCTCCGCGGGGACTCATGCCACGCGCGTCCCGGCTCGGCGCGCGATTAGCAGCCGCCTCCGCAGCCCGCCGCCGCCGCCGCCCTCCTCCCGGGCTGCCGCGGCCAGAAGCTGCTGCAGCCGTCGCCCCGCGCAGGCTGCTGCCGGCATTGTCCTCCCCGTCGTCCGCCGCCCCGGCCGCCGCCGCCGCCGCCGCTGGTGCCACCGCCGCGGGGGACCCCGGACCGGAGCGCCGCAGGGACGCGCTACCGCCGGCTGGCCCCGGCGCCCGGCCCCGCGTGGTGGTGATTTCTGCGTCCTGCGCTGCCCACCGAGCCACCCGCTCCTAGGATTTTTTTTTCTTTTCCCTGCGGAGCCGAGGGAGGGAAGCAGTCCAGCCGCCCAGCCTAACCCATCCCCGGCGCGCAGCCCCGACGGGGGCCGCCTCGCGGGCGAGGGCGCCGACGGAGCCATGCGAGAGTACAAGGTGGTGGTGCTGGGCTCGGGCGGCGTGGGCAAGTCGGCGCTCACCGTGCAGTTCGTGACGGGCTCGTTCATCGAGAAGTACGACCCGACCATCGAGGACTTCTACCGCAAGGAGATCGAGGTGGACTCGTCGCCGTCGGTGCTGGAGATCCTGGACACGGCGGGCACGGAGCAGTTCGCGTCCATGCGGGACCTGTACATCAAGAACGGCCAGGGCTTCATCCTCGTCTACAGCCTCGTCAACCAGCAGAGCTTCCAGGACATCAAGCCCATGCGGGACCAGATCATCCGCGTGAAGCGCTACGAGCGCGTGCCCATGATCCTGGTGGGCAACAAGGTGGACCTGGAGGGCGAGCGCGAGGTGTCGTACGGCGAGGGCAAGGCGCTGGCCGAGGAGTGGAGCTGCCCCTTCATGGAGACGTCGGCCAAAAACAAAGCCTCGGTGGACGAGCTGTTCGCCGAGATCGTGCGGCAGATGAACTACGCGGCGCAGCCCAACGGCGACGAGGGCTGCTGCTCGGCCTGCGTGATCCTCTGAGGCTCCCCTGCCGCCGCCGGCCACCGTGCTTGGCGCACACACACACAAAAAAAATTAGCCAAACGCGCCCACCCGACTCTCTAAAAAAAAATGTGATGATTTCCTCTTCTTGCTCCGCGATCGATCGATCGGAGGCGACTTTGCATTGGCCGGGGTGTCCCGGGATTCCCCCCCCCCCCACCCCCACCCCCCCCCGGGCGGCTGGCCCTCTGCAGCGGCCCGACGTCCCCTGCCCCCTCCTCCGCCTCCCTCTCCTCCTCCTCCCCGCGCGCGTCCGGAGGGGGACCGGTCCTGGCCATCCGAGACCCAGTGGAAATGTGGTTCTTTGCATCGTGTACGTTTCTCATTGATTTTTTTTTTGGGGGGGGGGTGTTGATGTTTATATCCCCACTTTGTAAGTCACCGTTCAGGGTGCTGTGTTGGCGGCTTGACACCAGCGAGCGAAAGTTTCAGCCTGGAAAAAAAAAACCTGGGATGGGGGAGGAAGAGGACAGACAGGGAGAAGGTTGGAAAGAAGGGAGAGGGAGGGGTGTTTTGTTTGTTTTTCTTTTCAACCACCGTTTTTCGAGTTCCCAGTTTTAAATACATGGAAGGAAGTCCGGGAGAACCAAATGAAGGAGCAGGAGGAGAGGAAGAAACTTTTGTGTGTTTTTTTGTTTTGTTTTGTTTTCCTTTTTTTCGTTTTCCAGGAGAAGCTGGAAATGATCAGGTTCCTTTTCTGCCAGCTTGGAAGGGCAGCCCCGTGACTGATTGCGATTCTGAGGATGTCTATGCAAAGTTGGATTCTTGTTTTCAGTTGTATCCAATCTGAAGTATTGCACATCTGAACTGGGACTGGTTAACACTGATCTGGTTAACACTGATGCCAATACAGTGTGGGGTGCCAGAAAGTGTCTGCTGATATTTGTGGAGGGAGGGGAGGGGAGAAAAAAAATCTATTTTGTTTACCTACTGTATCTAAGGGGAGTCTGGGGAGAAAAAATAACAACGGTAGTATTTTTTTTTATCAGCTGTGAAAAAAATGTTACAGATCTGCACATTTTGTGTGTGTACTGTTGTGTGTGTGTGTGTGTGTGGTGGTTTTGTGTGTGTGTGTGTGTGTGTTGTTGTTTTTTTTTTTTTTAAGTTTAGCTTTTTATTCTTGTTGGTTGGCAGTAACAGATTTTGATGAGTAGCTCTTTACAATACAGTACAAAGACTTAACAAATGTGATATCAGTGTCTGCAGAGTGCCTTCAAAACTCAGCTGTTCCAGCCGGTGCCAACCTGTGAACTTCCCACCCCACTACCCCCAGAGTCTGCTATCCCCCCAAACCACTTCCCAGTTTCCTTTCAGCAATCACCCCGAAGGAGCCAGGACAATAGGGCCTGTTGTTCTGTGAATTTCTTCTTTATTATTCCCAACCCTTAAAATGTAATTTCCATGTCTTGGTGATTTTTTTTTTTAACTTTATTTTTCTTCGTCCTGTTCAGATGTTCAGGTATTTAGCTCCCCTTTTATATTATTTTTAAAAAATATATTTTTCTGGTTGTCTGTTCATAGGGTCTTCCTTCAGAAGCAAAAGAGCAGAATTTGACTGTTGTGATGTACCAAGAGAATTCTAACCGATTGTAATTTTCAATTCCAGACACGCGTGTTTAATCATTGTCTCTTCATTTTAAGACTTTTAATACAGATGTCGTTTTTAAAGAAACAAACCCAAAACTATTGTTTGCGTTTCTGTGTTTTCATAATTCAGTGACTTACTACAGTAGCATGGCTGAGGTGGACAGGGGCAGGTGGATGGGTGCCTGGTGTCCCCAAAAGTTGGTGGTCAGATTGTGAAGACGGAAGTGTTTCAGTGGCAAGTTGAGTGACATCACTCCCAACTTCTTAAATATGAGAAAAATCACCTTGGTCTAGGAAACCCTGGGGTGTGGCCATCTCATCTGACCACAAGATTATTGACTCTCTTCTGCTGGCAGGGAGCAATGTACCTTACCTCACAGTAGGTGAGGAAGGGAGAAACCACCTGCTAGTACTGTCTTCAATCTGGGAAAGTAACCATCTACCTGGCCAGGCAGGGTAGCATGTTTGCATTTGTTTAGTTTAAATTAGGTCACATATACACCAAGTCAAAAGGATATTTGGGGGAAGATGATTTCCATTCCAAAGTCAGACCTACTAGTGTTTTCTGCAGTCATGCCTATAGGCTGTAGGCAGCATCTCAACACTTGAGGTTTTGATTTGGAAATAGGTCTTTATATTTACAAAGTAGAATACAAAAAAACTAAGTAAAAAAAATAAATCCTTGCTTTCATTACAGATTGTGGGCCATTTTGACCTCATGAAACTTTCCTGCTAACAGTAAGAGGCAGTGTGAGCTTTTTCTGTCTTATTTTTTCTCAAGGGCCACTTGACTAATAGAACTCCGTAGAATAAGAGGTTTATGGCTATGAACCATGAGCATTTGATATACCGTAAGTCTGTGAGTGTAGGTGAAGTTTTCTCAAGGGTCTTTGGACAAAGGGATTCTGTGGTCGAAGCCAAAACAAATGACAGGCCACAGGTTTCTTTGAACGGTGGTATTAACATATCTTGCTTTAAAGTGTGTCTTCTGCCCTGGAGACATCTAGTATTCCAGGGTGGAGGAAAAATAGACATTTTACCTGTGGTGGTCCTATGACCATTCCTGATCTCACGTTTAGTATTAAGATCAATTAGAAGGTACTAAATATATTCTAAATAGAGAAATTAAGAGAAACTACTCAAATGTGTGCCTTTGCAAAGATTCCTCGAATTTGAGTTGATTGACTTGCTCCAGTAGATCTAAAGTGTTGAAAATTCTGAAGACTTATCCAGTATTATGAAGGATATTTTTTTAAAGGCATCTGTTGACTATTTTTTTTATTTTATGGTTTACTTTAGTTTTGTATTTTGGAAGCCTTTTGACCTAACATGGTGCCAATTGTCTAACTTGAGAAATGTATATACTGACAGGGATCGCTTGAAAATGGAAAATGGGAAAAGAAATAGGTTGTTGGTGCATTAATCATCTCCACATAGGATTTAGTCACTTGCATGACTAAATTCTTAATAAAGTCTAGGATGGCAGAGCAGAAGAATTTAATATGCTTTTCCCGAGTACTGCACAATAAATGCTTTTTGGATTCTCAATGAAAGCAATTCGGTGTGTATTTCTTAGAGCAGGAGAATGGTAGTTCTGAGTTTGGTAGCCTTCTCTTCTATGTTCTTGCCAAAATTGAGAGCAGTGAGGGACATTGCTTTTAAGAATATTTCCTTTTACCTGGCTAGCAAGAACCTCTTAGTATTAGGATGTGAAGAGATAAGAGCATTTGTTTCCTTGAAAAAGTCGGGCTGACTTGGGTGTTAAAAGGGAGGGAGGGAAGGTGGGAGGGAAGGCGGGAGGGAGGAGCTGTTTGCAATCACCTGTCAAAACAGAGGCTGGGTGAGAAAGGAACCTTTATCTTGGGAGGAAAAGTTAACTTAAACTTGACCCCTGCTGTTTTTATAGCAGCTTTTCCTTTTGGTCCCTGACTGTCATCCAGGCTTTATGTTACATCAAGGATTATGTTAGTACTTCTTTTGTAATAGCCTCAGAAAAGCTGAAGGTAACATCCTAAGTCTTGACATTTTTATGTTTGCGAGTTCTATGGTTCTTAGGTAGAACCTTTTCCAAGTTCACGGTTGAAATAGACTGAATCACATTTCAGGACAAGACATGTCTGGGTTAGACTTTACATGTATGAGGCTTTATGCTCCCCGATTAGTTAACCTTTTCTGTAGGTGGGAATCCTAAAATGCCTCATCTACTGGAACTGTGCAGGCAGTTTTGTAATGTTTTCACCATCATGATTGGACCCCTTTAAAATACCCAGTATTTTTATAGGTGGGATGGCAAAGTGAGAGAACACCATATGTAGCGGCTGATCTTGAGAAATAGATGCAAAATACCTTTACCTTAACTATCATTAAAGAAAGCATTTTCCACAACATCTGGAGTATGAAGGAAACAAATTTTGGAGATCACCACTCTTAGTTAAAATGACACCAAACATTTGTCACAGTGTTTACTTAATTGGGAAAAGTTTGCTAACAGGACTTTTGTCCTTGTGAAAAACGTGTCAGATTTTCAAATGCTGCTAATGGAGTGTGGTATTCTTGATTATGTATTACTCAGAGGAGTAATAGAAAGCACTTAATTGAACACAGTGCTAGTTCTAGAAGATACGTTTGAGCTAATAACAGTAGGATTTTGGTAGTTTGCGAAAGCTTTAGATTTCATCTCTAATCCAGAAGTTCTCAAACTTGACCATATATCAAAATTACCTAGAGGTGAAAACAGGTATTGGTTTCTTGTTCGGTATGTCTGGATATGATCTCATTTTTTTTTTCTTCTAATTAAGTTTCCAGGTGATGGTAATGTTCCAGCACCAACATTTTGAAAACCAAGGATCTAGTCCAATCTCCAAATAAGTACTATATGGACAGCCACCTGATTATTTAGGGACATAGATTTAGTAAGACTCCTGTCTTACATTTTTAGAGTGCTGCCTACCACATAAATAGACTATGTTGATTGGAAGTCGATAGCTGAAGAGAACATAAACCCTTGACATTAAGCCTGATAAATTGTTGAGTGTGAAATGGGATAAACACTTTGCAGGTAGAGGGACCGTTTTTGCATTTTGGAAGTGGCATTCAGTGTTAATTCAGCAGTTGACCAAAATGAGAAATGTGTTAAGAATAGGGCATGGCCTACAAACTCAGAATCAACATTTCCTCTGCCTACCCAATTTTTTTGAAAAAAATATCTTTGGTAAAAGGGAATTCTTTTAAGTATGTGTGTTTACTTCAAGAGTAAAGGGGAAGAATTTAAACTCTTCCCACTATGGATTCTAAAAAAAGAAATAAAATAAAAATTATATATGAGTATTTAAATCTTCAGGTCATGCCCAGTTGTATATCTATAGGTAAATGTGTGTGTGTGTGTGTGTGTGTGTGTGTGTGTGTAAATATGTACACTCAGTTTCTTAGCCAGACTTTCCAGGAATTAGTCAATTTAGTGTCCCGAAGTTCTAAAGCTCTCCATTGTGGAATAACACATAACGTGAAACTGTGCCATACAGCTTTTGGAACTGTAAGTTCTGATCTGTTTTGTACATTGGACAGGACAAGCTATCTGTATTCTAACTTTGATATTAAACAGCAATCTTTGAGAAGATGTTTTTTTCTTAGATTAGCAGAGTAGAAAGTATGTGCTTTTTTGGTCCAGTTGACTAATCTTGCTATTTTTAAAATGAGCTATCTGGCAAAATGATGTGGGGCTAAGTTTATCAAAGGTTTGAAAATGTGTGGTTGGTTTATTTGTGGCACTTGTGCAAATGTAGCAAAAACATTTTTTTAAATAGGAAAGAGAAAGATCACCGACACATTGAGAATACAGGTGACCCCAAAGGGCCTGAGATTATTTCTTCACTGTTAATATGGTTGCAATGGAAACTGGTAAACAGATTCATTCATTATTCAACAAGCATTTATTGAGCATATACTGCAGTGTAAAGACTAATGCTTAAGTGAGAGGAAACCAAGCAAAAGAGAGACAACTTTTAGCTTTTATCACCATAGGCTGTGAAAATAGCATATATGAACCAATAGGAGTATATACAAAAGCAGAACTATATATGCCATCATTTGTAATACAGTAATCCACGAGTATGTCAGGCAAGCAATCTGTTTATTGAAAATTGGAATTTTACTTTGAAAGCTCCATGGATACTGCAAATACAAATGGATCCCATGAATTTTAAGTAACGTAGAGTTGTTTGGGTACAAGTAGAACTCTAATTTTGTGCGTTATTTCCAACTTCTCTTTTGAGGTTAGCAAACATTGAACATTTAGACATAGGAAATCAGTTTGCTTTCCTATTTTCAGGTGAAAAGGAAGAGGAAAAATGGAGGAAAAGGCATGAAGTGTATTCACTGTTGTTTTATTAATGAGGAAACCCAAAGGGGAAGGACAATTAAGTTATATTCTTCAAGAAAGAAGCAGTTGCTGCCATATTGTCTTTTGGAGTTCTTCGTGTCAAGAAGGTTGAGGGTAGGGTATTTCTTCTGTAAAAGATAATCCTCTAAAAATAAGTGTGCCAAAGATTTAAGCTGACATCGTTAGTTTGCTAAGCTTATAGTTATTTTAGACAGAAGTTTGTCCACACGCATTTAGTGCTTATTGGATGCAAGAAGGCAACCAGGTCGGAGAAACAAACGCTGGGCAACAGCTCTCAGAGGTGCCAGGGCTCGTGGTTGTTATGAAACCCTATAAATTAAGAGAGTGATAATTACTAGCCTGCAGTTTGCAGAACAATTTCTAGGGACTGTTTTGTGTAGATTTTCGGGACTGTTTTGTGTAGATTCTCATGAATTTAACAACATACTTTTTAAATGTCAGCAGTTACAGGGTTCCCCAGATCTGAAAGCACTCCGTTTTTTATCTTTTTTTAAAAATCTGCTTACTATAGAAGCAATTAGGAGATGCAAATGTATTACTTATAGTTTTATAGCGTCAGGAATGGTCTTCATATTTTATATCTGTGATCTGGCTCGTTATAAAAAGTTTTCAAAATCTGGTTTTGGTTGTGAATGCAGAATATTTTAATGCTATTAAATATACATGTTAACATTAATTTAATATTTTAAAATATTCT